TTTTTTTTTTTTTTTTTTTTTTTTTTTTTTGGAGAGTCATCACTGTATAAAACAAAACAAATGTAGTTTTGTACCTTAGTCTGAGACTTACATTACCTTTAAAAACAAAGAATATTTGTATTATTTAAATCAAACTTCTAGGAGTTATAAGAGTATAGCTCAGTGGCATTAAATGCAACCTAATTATATTGGTAACATTTATTACAATAGAATCTAACTCTTCTAGCACTTTACCTACTGGAAATACTTGTTCACTACTTCTTTCACAGATATGTTAAGATCTGAGCAGCATTCTGTGCAGACCATTTTGGTGCTGGAAGTGTCATCTTCTCTGAAACCATCAAATCAACTCTTTTCTCATTTTCAACTGGAAACTGAAACTCAGTGAAGTGACTCATGAAAGTCACAGTGACAAAACTGTAACTGCAGCCAAATTTCCTGACCCCAAGATGGGCAGTCTGTCTGCTAGTTCATCCTGACTATTTCTTAAACCAGATTCAAATATTTTGTACATACTAGGAAATGAGATCTTAGAGCTAGTTCAATAAGGTCATTTATTTTTTGTAAGATGCACCTCAGAGTTTCCCCATTGAAAAAGAAACAAATGCAGGCCAGGACTCAAAAGTCAGAAAATCAATAACATTTTCTACTTGTAAAACGAATAAACAACTTTTTAAAGGAGTAAAAATGGAATGAGTAGGTATGGGTAAATTACCGCAGACAGTTGTGGTAAAATTCCTACTGGTGCCCTGGGTTTTTCTTTGCTGGCTGATTTATCCTGGATGGAAAACAAAACAAAACGATGAAAAAGCGTGCACTGTTAATGCCCAACCAAATTTTACAGTTTACTATAGAGTATGCCGAGAGAAAGCTGAGGTCTTCTGATTCTGCAAAAATTTTAAAAGCCTCAGAAACCCTACACAGGGTCACTGTGAGTCGGAACTAATCGATGGCACGTAACAACAACAGCAACTATAAAACATGAAGGAAACCTGGTAGCATAAAGGATTAAGAGTTGGGCGATTAACGGCCATGTCAGCAGTTTGAATCTACCAGTGATTCCTTGGGAGAAAGCTTTCTGCTCCCATAAAGACTTAAAAGTCTCAGAAGCCCTATACAAGGTTGCTATGAGCTGGGACAAACTCAATGACACACAACCACCACCAAACACTATAAATCAAGGATCACAGATTATCTAAAATATTCTCAAGTATACACTACATCATTAAAAAAAAAAATTCTGAATGGCTTCGAATGGCTTCCGTTATAAGAAGTCAATAAAGGACGTAGGCATGCAATAATACTTATCAGCAAGGCTTACAAAGTTTGTATAAACTCTTTTCTCTCTCATCTGTTCTTCTGAGAGTTTATCTGAGTCTATGAATGTCTAGCTTCACCTCCCTTCTCGAAGGCTGAAATCAGTTTTGTTCTCTTATTGACAGACCAGGATGCTCCACTTTCTAAGATGACTGTATTCAAGTTAATGCATTGTCCAGTTGCCAAAAATAGTGTTTGTGCTATTTAACAGAAACTTTCAGAGAAAAATACTCTGCTTCTTTGTAGTAGAGAATGAGCCTTTGGTAAAAACATCATCTAGGTTGTTGTTGTTAAGTGCTGTCAAGTCGGTTCCGACCCATAGCGACCCTGAACAGGGTTTCC